ACCATTTAATCACTCACTCACTTAGATAGAGATGGGTTTTAAGGGAAATTATCATATAACTATAATCTGGTAAAAGCTGGTATCTCTGGACATTTGCAATGTCCCCTGCAACAGAAAAACCCTCTCATTTGGGACTGAGGTTTCTGGGACAGGGATATGACTTGGCCCAGGTTGACAGCAGTGGGTAACGTTGTGCATTGTCTTTCCCCCACTTGAGAGGACAAACCATGAGTGGTACAAGTCAATGTCTGCATCAATCTGAACAGTGTGCTGTGTTTCTGCAGTCCCCATGACTGTTATTAGTCATATTCCCCAACTTGCAGGCACGTGCACACACAGGGCTCAACCTGTATAGTGCACATGCCCTTTTTAGTCTTGGATAGAAAGTGCCCCCGCGACGCGACACAACCTCCTTCCCGCTTTACAGTACGCGCGCGACAACACAGCTGATCAGAACGCGCGCGACAACACCTCTATTCAGTACGTGCGCGGCGACAACAACAATACCCTCCCTTTTTAGAGAGAAGCCGAAATGCTTCCACACATCCGATTTAAAACCCGCTTTAGGTTCGATCATTTCCAGTTCTTTTTCATCCCTGCTACTAGCAGCAAACTCCATTACCGTATTACTGGATCTGTAGAGACAACAGACCGCAAAGGATTATGGCCACGCCTGGGCTGATGGCAGTTGTAGTTTCCGCTACCTCCCGTTCGCTTCATTCGCCTGAGCAAATTTTCTTAGAAGACCTATAGTTTTACCGAGTCATGCGACTACGAAAATATTGAAAAAAATTGCTATTGCGGTATGACGGTATTTACAATACCGTTACATCCCTATTCAGTACACTTTTTGACAGTGGCAACGGCCATAAAAGAGTACCAAACCAAACCGTACCGTACCATTCAGTGGAAAAGGGCCAAAAGATACAAAATAGGTGGAAAACTCTGGTCTTATTTCCTGGTCTGTCTTTTCCAGGTCTGCAATCTCCTGCTCTGCTCCTCTCCTCCTCAGGAGTCTATCTTCTCTAACTCCACTGCAATCAGGCTTACTTCTGGGCCTGCTCTCTTTGTCTCTCTCTCCCTCCTCCTGTGTCTCTTCTTCTACCTCTGGTAACTTTAATTTAACATTTAAGCTGGGTACAATTTATATCATATGTTTTATCATTTCATATTTTATCATTTTACACAGTTATTCTGTAATTAATTCAGTTGTAACCATAGAGAATTATTGTCATTAAATCATCTCATTTTCAAGTGTTTGTGAATTACTTTTGCTTTACCATCAACATTTAATTACTCCATATTGCCATACAATACAATCACATGATATCAACGCTCTCCCACATTTATAGCTATTAATACTGCCCTTATTTCTGTTTTTGGTGTAAGATTGCAGAAGAATGATTTGACTAGAAATGTACAGTTATTTACCGTCATGCTGATAACTCTTTAGTCACTCGGCAGAACTACAGTTTGAACCGCTGTGGTTAGAACCCATTCCTGCAAAACTAACCATATTGATTTTTGTACGCTCACATTGCTAGTTGTGTGGTGAACAATTCATCTGTGAGTGTCATTAAGAAAAAGAAGTCTGGCCTTCTAATCTTCAACTGAAATCTGAGAATGCACTTCCTGTTTTTTTTTTTCAGTTAAATTCTCAGATTAGGTCTGTCTGAGGTATTGGGCGTGGCTAACATACTTAACCACGCCCCTTCAGCTGTCAGTTTTGACAACAAACTGTAATGGTGAGCAGGAGGAGTCTGTTAGGTCTGTTGATAACTCTCCCCAAACCCTTTTCCCCATCTTTCTGACTGAAATGCCTACTTTACTACATCCAATCAGCTCGGAGTAGATGAAAACAAGCCACGCCCACTGTTTTGTCATTTAATATTCCGTTTCTCTAGGAACTGCATCACAATATGAACAATAAATGATCACAGCTTTCAGTTTAAGTCTTACTATGTGAATGTTGATATTTGTTCTCATTGTGTGTTTGATGATGAAGATGAAATACGAGTGTTGGAGGAAAATTCAGTCACTCTGAGCTCTGGTGTCTCTAAACTGAAGAATAATGATCAGATTCAGTGGAGGTTTGGAGATGGAGACACTTTAATAGCAGAAATCAATAAACAGACCAACAGATTCTCTGTATTTGATGATGTTCTTGATGGGAGATTCAGAAACAGACTGAAACTGGACAAGAAAACTGGATCTCTGACCATCACAGACATCATAACTGAAAATGCTGGAGATTATAAACTACAGATCAACACTGAAATCAACACTGTTAAACTGAGAGTTTTGGGTGAGTTAAATATGAGTTTGATCTGATTTATATTTTAATCAGCACAAAGACACAGTTTTTAACCCAAACCTGCTTTTGTTTTTGTTGGTTTATTATATTAATTTATATTTATTTATTATCTTAATCTGTGTCTGTTAATCATGATCTGATTCTGTTTCTTCTTCATGTGTTTGGTGATACAGGATTTAAAGTATTGTCTGTGAAAATGAGAAAATCAGTGACTCTGAGCTCTGGTGTCTCTGAACTGAAGTATGATGATCAGATTCAGTGGAGGTTTGGAGATAAAGACACTTTAATAGCAGAAATCAATGTAACGGCAAACAGATTCTCTGTATTTGATGATGTTCTTGATGGGAGATTCAGAGACAGACTGAAACTGGACAATAAAACTGGATCTCTGACCATTACAGACATCAGAACTAGAGATGCTGGAGATTATGAACTACACAGCAACTTTATTGATATTATTTTCAGTCTCACTGTCTGTGGTGAGTTACAAATGTTCTTCATCTGTTTCATTTTTTTAATCACAAGATGTAGTTTTAATCCACACATCTTTGCTATTTTGTATATTTTTGTTGTATGATATTATAATTAACTTTCAGAAACAACAATAGAGCTTTAATGATCTTAATCTGGCAAAAACCCTGTTTCTGTTTGTGTGTTTGATGATGAAGATGAAATATCAGTGAAGGAGGGAGATTCAGTCACTCTAAACTCTGATCTCACTGAACTGAAGGATGATGATTGGATTCTGTGGACGTTTGGAAATGAAAACACTTTAATCGCTGGAATTAAAAACCAAAACATTGTATTTTCTGTGTTTGGTGATGTTCCTGATGGGAGATTCAGAGACAGACTGAAACTGGACAATAAAACTGGATCTCTGACCATCACAGACACCAGAACTGAACATACTGGAGTTTATAAATTATCTATCGACTATAAGAAAATACAGAGTTTCATTCTCACTGTCGGTGAGTTTAATATTGTTTTCTCAGGTTATATTTATTCAGAAACAGATCTACACTAATGTCTGATCATTTAAATGTTGTTTTCTGTCTTCTTCAGTCTCTTGATTTCTCCTCATTTCTCTTTATTCTCTGGTGTTTTCAGCTCTGCCTGTTCCTGTCCTCATCCTCAACTCTTCTCAATGTCCTTCATCCTCATCTTCATCAGTGCAGTATTGTTCAGTGCTGTGTTCAGTGGTGAATGTGAGCGCTGTGAGTCTCTCCTGGTACAAAGGAAACAGTTTATTGTCCAGCATCAGTGTGTCTGATCTCAGCATCAGTCTCTCTCTACCTCTGGAGGTGGAATATCAGGAGAAAAACACCTACAGCTGTGTGATCAACAACACCATCAGCAACCAGACTCAACATCTGGACATCAGTCAACTCTGTCCCACATGTTCAGGTACAGCAGAGCTGATATTAGTGGATGGCAGTGCTGATATGAAGCTTTATTGACTGATCTGAGCTCAGTTCAATGTGTTTGTTCCTCAGGCTCTGTTCACTGCTGTGGTCCTACTGAAGCTGTGATCCGATTGGTCCTCTCTGTTCTGGTGGGCGTGGCTACTGTCATTATTGTGCTTTATGACATCAGATCCAGAAGAGCTGAACAAGATCAAGCACATATTCACGCATCACAAACCTGAATGATGATGTCAGAGAACTGCTTTCAGTCATTTCAGCTTCATTTATTTTGAAGATTTTAGATGAACCTGATGGTTCTGATGCAGCTCATGTGAGGGATTGACATAAATACAGCAGCAGACTTCAAATACAAAGCTTTGCTTTCATTTAGATCAGTACAACAGGCTTTACTTATGAACATTTTATATATGATTGAATTTTTCATGTTTGTTTTGTAGTGATACTATTTTACAGATTCAGTTTGATTTATTGTTTATATTTCTCTAAAATAAGACACAGATCTTACTTCACTGTGCATTTGTCAGATGTATTTGCTTGTCTTCATCAATAAAGTTTTCTCTGGCTAAATGTAAAGTCTCTTCATGTTGTATTTGATTGTGTCGAGCGCCCTCTGGAGGAGTAAAACAGTTGAGCAGAGCAGAAATCTTCATCTTCATGATCTGCACAAATTCACAAACATAAATCATGACGTCATTTCACTTATAATCTTCATTTATTTGTAATGGCTTTATGTTTTCATTTGCTGATCTTTCCACCCTGAAAGATTTCAGATCAAACTGCAACTCGAGCATTAGTGCTATTAAATGTGTGTTGAGATAAAAGATGGCTGATTCACTGATTTATCCTCTCTAACACTTACAGGACTTTTAGATCACTTCTTATTACACTTTACCCTGTCTTGTTATTATTGTGCAGATCAGATGTCCATCATATCAAGATCCTTTCATTGATATATAAATGTTTACGTTGCCATTTAAGCTCTCTTTATACTGATAAAAGTATTATTTTTATTGTTAAAACTCGAGCTGGACATTTCCCCGTTTTACAGAGCGATCACACACACCGTAAAAACCCAAATTAGTACACTTTGTTGCAGGTTACAGCAGTCCTGTAACAAGTATCTTCACCAGCAGAGGGCGCTGACAGTTTCCTTAAAGGGCCATGAAACCCCCTCTTTTCAGCAGGGTGTTTTCACACCTCAACTTTGAAAAAGGTCAGGAAAGTAGGTGTGTCTACCTCTGTTTAGGTGGGAGTGTAGTGGGAGGGAAGAGGGGAGGGGTTTGAACGAAAAGGGGAGTGTCAGTGCGTGCATACTAAAAAGCTAATTACTAGACCGTCAACACAAAGACGCAGACACAGAGATGGACAGCGACTCGGAAAGCAGCGTTTGCAGTGGATCTGACAGCTCTGTGGAGGTGGAGGACTTCTCTCCACCAGATTCCCCGCAGTCACATCTGGTTGAAGAAAGTACAGGTCCACTGCCGTATCAGTTCGAACCTTTAAACAGAAACGCGCCAGTGAATGCAGGAGAAAGTGACAATGCTCCTGACTACGCGAATATGGATGTCTCGCAATGGTAGTTATTATTTCCAGCTGTATTTGTTAAATTAAACAAATAACTAACAATTACATAATTTTGCATGCCACAAATACTGCACAGCATCAGAAAACTGAATTGTTGTCATCTTAACAGGTGTTCTTGTGGTAACTGCTCCAGACTCCGTCCAGAGGAAAACGTTTGTTGTAGAGACATACCAGAGGTAAAATGTTATTTTTGCAAGTATTTCCTGGAGCTATTTCATGCACAGCATTACGTTGTAGCCTGTACTAAGTAGTACGCTTTTCATTTTGGTCCATAGGTGCACACAAATGGCCGGTTAAACGGCTTAAATTGCATAACAAATGACCCTGGATTTGAGTCTATCGCTCTTAACCCAACCGTCCTGCAGCTGACTAATGCCATTGATCGACATTCGAATGGGGAGATGAGAAACGCAGCTCGCAACAGGTTGGTAAAATGTGCAACTGAAACATTACAGTGCTCTGTCGTTTCATTATCATTACAATAAAGTTTTATTATGTAATTATAATGCTTTTATACATTAAGCCTGGGAATAAATTACACTACCGTTTTATAAGTTTTTCTTATCAAACCCATTTAGACGGCATATGATTCACAACTGTAACAATTAAAAAGCAATAATATCTAACCTGACCTCTGTTTTATTCAGTTTTTACAGACACGTCGCATACCGAAATATTGTCTGGTGGTGCTGGGGATATCTCGGAAGAGAGATCAGAGTGGTGAAACCCTCATGTGCAGTAACAAGAATACGACAGGAATTCCCCGATGAGAATGAGAACTACACTGGTTATTTACCCCGTCCAATGTAGCATAAACCATATATATATATATATTGTTTATATATTGTTTTAAGATAAATATAAATATGTAGAAAGATTAACAAATAAACGTATGTGCACTACAAACAACAATTTGTCTGTCTTATTAATTTTAGTATCATAGGTTACAACGTATACATTTGGCATTTCAACATAGCCTATGTATATACATACACACATACCCACAAATAAATATATATATATACATATATATATATATATATATATATATATATATATATATATATATATACATATATATATATATACATATATATATACATATATATATATACATATATATATATACATATATATATACATATATATATATATATATACATATATGAATATATATGTATATATATACATATATAGATATAAATATATTTATATACAGTAGATAAATATTTATGTAGTACGTTATATAATTATAATTACTTTTATTTAATTAAAAGTATTAGTGTATACTGTGTATAAGACTTAACATTTGTGTTAAACACATTTGCACACACTTTTAAATTACAGGTGCAATATCAATACAATACAGTATGAATAATTAACCAGACAGCGAGAAAAGTAATGCGTTGTATTCTGTGGTACGCTGTTCTTAGGGTGTTTGAAACAACAAACTACCAGTCAAAACAATACATGCCACTCTTATAATAAAGACATTGAAATTAACCCTCAGCATATTTGAAGTAAACCTACTGATTAGAGTGCATTGTCTGTATGGCATGCAGATGTAAATAAGGCAATTCCAGATTAAATTAGGTGATTAGCAAACCATCAGACACTTCGCACATTAAAATGGTACCAACTAAGGAGAATGTCGCAGGACACTTCACAGAACTATTTGCACAACGTCACAATAGCTCGTTTTATCAAGTGAATGAACCATAAAAAAATGCAGCCTCTGCACTTGACACAATTGACGAAAATGAAGAAAAACAACAAACAGGTAGTATGTTTTCTCTGCAAATATATAAAAATATTTTAATAATCTGTGTGCATGTACAAAATGTTACAGTCTTGCGTCAAGAAACACATCTTCAGAATTGTAAATACGTGCAGTACTATCAAAACCAACTCGGAAATACGGTCACCACAGTGCAGATAGTTATACACGTAGATGCATCTTTTATTTGTTGTGGAAGTTCTTACAGGAACCGGCAAAATTCTTGGATGTAGAAACTTTGTCCGGTCGTGAGGGGGCAATCAGTGTGGTGATAACTTTGTGTATGACTCTTGCAATACAAAAAAATACTCTACGAGTCCAAGTGTACCAGAGTGCAAATAGTTATAAAAGGTAGTACATGTTTTATTTTGCGGTGGAAATGTTTTATTTTGTAGTGGACTTATATCTAGACGTATGCAATGCCACAGCCTTTTGCTTCTCTCGTCGTCCATACTGTGTGCAGAGGTGTTCAGGAACTTGAATTTGCAAAAGCTTGTCCTGGAACAGCTGGGGCTGCTCTAGCACACAGTCAAACAATAGCTGCAGGAGCCTGTCAACATACCCTGCAACATATAACCGAAATTGGGATTCTTTGTCAATGTAAAATAGGCAATTGCTGATTAAAATATGTGATTAGCATTATACACTCCATACATTAAAATGGTACCTAGAATAACACAAAAGTTACATTGACATATCATTAAATACAACAATGTAACAATTAAGCATGTCACAGGGCATTTTACAGGGCTATTAAGATTAATAGGTGAAAATAGAGCTCTTATCAAGTGGAGAAAGAATCAGCGAAAATGTGTAAACAAGAACAGTATGTATACATGGTATAAACATTACTGATATCTGTATACATTTGTAAAATGTATAAGCCTAACTTTTTTAGGTTTGTAATAACATTGTATGTATGCATGCATACACAGTTGAAGTCAGACTTATTAGCCCCCCTTGAATTATCTACACCCGTTTACTTTTCCCCCAATTTTTGTTTAACGGAAATAAGATTTTCTCAACACATTTTCAATCAAAATAGTTTTAATAACTCATCTCAACTAAATGATTTATTTCATCTTAGACATGATGACAGTAAAAACTAATATGTAAATATGTTGAAGAAAAACAATTTCAACCCCATACTTTTCTCTAGGTAGCAATACATACCGTAAGTTGTTGTAATCTTTATTGGCCTCACTGTGCATTCACCCTTTTTGTACCGGGGATACTGTATGTGCCATCGTAGCTGTCCTGTAGCAGTTGTGGCCTGTTTCCTTGTGCTGTTTTCATTGTAGTGCATGGCAGCCAGTTGTGATCTAAGATGAGAAAAGCTGTACATAAGTTACATTGTTTAAATAAGTTCCAGTGAGTTTATCAGTAATCTGTTACTTTTTAAATGTGTGTAGTAATACATTCAAGACAGTTAAATAAAACATACAACATACCTGCACAGCATTCCAACGTAGGAAAATGCAACACTCTTTGGAGCAAACCGAATAAGCAAACTATGAAAAGACTCCAGTGATGAGGTTTGGTACTCCCCGCTAAGCTTTTGTAAATCTCTAAGTAGTCTTGGAGCCAGGATGACGTTGCTCAGTTTTTCACATGCAGATGTACCTAAAAAGAACAATAAAACACACAAAATACATAGCATAAATTAAAAGACCAGGTCATCACATTAAAAAAAGGCCAGATAGTGTAACTATATGTAGCCATTACTTGGTTTTAGCCACTGTCTTGCTTGTTCTCCCACCAAAGGCTCATGGAGGCATTTTGGAAATTCACCACCATGTTCATGTATGTCCTGGATGTGGTTGGCAACCGACTTCCACTTGGCGACTATTTCACTGCCTGTGCTGGAAGATGCACCACACCAGTAAAGGTGGTTTACAATGCTCCTTTTCCAAGTGATGACCTCACTGCAAACCTTCAGCTTGCCAAGTTGGTCTATTTTTTTTGCAACACCTACAAAACCATTGATAAAAATGCAGCAGAATGACAAACACCGTAATGACAAATGAAACAAAATGTACAATGAAATCAGACCTTTTGCCATGTGCCACGCGTCAAACTTGTGCAAAACATCAGGCCTGCTTTCCCTGAGGTACTTCATGACAGCAGGATGCCTGTCTGTTATAAGTGTATTCACTTTGACCCCTCTCCGCTCCAGCTCTTGCAGGCATCGGTGCAGTCCCTCTTTTTCCATGCGTTGGCTGTTGCCAACATCATTGCTCTAATAGTAAAAAGTGATAGATTAAGATATTTTGGTGTCATAAATTTTGTTTATATAAACTATTGTGTTGCTGCAAAACATTTGGTAGTAAACTGAAATACCTGGATAAGCTGAATGTCCACTATTCGGTTTGCTTTCAGGTCCATCACAGAATAGGTACCATATTTTGCACTGTGCCCTAAAAAAGTAAGATTAAATAACATTTATTAACTAATTTACATAATACTGCTTTTATATTGTTGTATTACTTTAATAAACTTACCTGGAGAGTCGGCCCGCATGTCCCCGCCAAAGATGGTGTCTCCATTCGCGATTGTATGTTGAACAGCTGTACTTTGTTCCACATTCCACAACCAATTGATTGTGGGAAAAAGTAAATTCCGCTGATGTTTTAGGTAGGTCGTGTGACTAATCCCTGCTATGTTGTATACCTGAAACAACTGCGAACACATAGAAAATTAACTATTACTTAAACTGCAGCAGAAAACAAGGGTCACAGAGGGATATAAATAAAAATAGCCTTGCCTTATCCACTTGCAAGAACGATGCTCCACTAAAAAGTACAGCTGCAGCCAGCTGGATATTTCCTGCTGGTATGTCTGCAACATACGGCTGACTGGTCCAAGTGTTACGATGCTCACAGTGTGTGCAGACCTGATCCACAAATAAAAGAGATCCGACTGTCCTACTGTGTATAACACATCTTTTGGTGCAGATAGGACACTGCCTGAAGAGCGCAATGATGTTTTCTTCGTAAACTATAAATTTTCTCATTTTGTAATGTGGTGTGTCTATTTCAGTACTGATAGGACACACAAAAACAACAAAGGAATTTTACAAAATATAGTAATACAACACGACAAATTACATTATAGTGTAGCAAGTACATACATTACAAATGTCTCAAATTACTCACCTCTCATTATAGATGGTGTGGTTGGTATCATCTGGGTTGAACGTAATGTCATCTATAGCCGTAGATCTGGACCTTTTTACAGGGGTTGAAACGGCAAGAGGAAGTTCTTCGAACGATGTGTTGAACATGACTGTGCTAACGTTACAGCTAACATCCTTCTTACGCTGTTTAACCTGGATGCCTGAACAAAGAAAACATGCTAGTCTAAAAATGCCAACGCAACATTGACCAGCAAACAGAAATGGATTTAATTCTTACTCTTGCTTCTTTGTTTTGGTTTCCAGCTGCATTGTGTGCTGGTATGTTTGATGGACGTAACAGCGTTGGTTTGGCATGCTACATCGGTTGTGTTTACATCGGTCTGGCACGCCACCTCACACCGCATTTCTGATTCAGATGGCGAACTGAACTGTTGCACAACCGTCTAAAAGACACCGGACAGACACGATTAAATGAAAACCAACCGTTTACAGTCTGTAGTATTGTAGAATTACTGTAAAATACTTAGTAATGCTAGTCATTGCAGTAAGTCATGTATTTACAAGTATTTACACTTACCGAATCTGTAGAGGCAGGAAAACCACTCGGAACTGCGTTTTTTTTTAACCTGAGACAAGTGGCAAATCCAGATTTTACCATTTCCAGATTGGAAAAACTCTCGGGTGAAAAATGTTCCTTACAAAGGTATTTTTGTCGCGTTGTAAAACACCACTGTATTCCAACTGCTTAGGTCCACACGCGAGCTTTACTCTCATCACGGGGAAAAGGAAACAAAAACTGCGTGGCGGCAACATTACAAACGCAACACCGACGACCCATGTCTCCAAAAAATGATTATTATTTCTCTCTTTCTCTCGTTTAAACTAAGGCTATCGCTGCAGTCTGACTCTCAACACTGTAACAGGTAAAACGAGTCTACCATTATATCTAGTTCATGCATATTAATGAAGCGCATACATAATAGCGCGCTGATTGGTTTGAACCACGGCTTACTCATGCATTAATGCATCACACTGTAAAACGTAATAAGGACCACTCTGGCACATACGCCCAGTCTGCACGCTGGAATACACGCTATTATGTCATGACCGTGACGCAGCTTCAAAAATTTGTTTCAAACCGGAAGTACGAATTTGCTTGAAAAAACGCAAAAACAACCAATTTACACTTTTTAGTGAAATATAGGTGTCCTAATAGTGTTTTTAGCAGTGTGGGACACATATACGACTGTCAACAGCTCAAAAAATGTGTTTTGGTGTTTCGTGACCCTTTAAGATTCATCGCTCACCACCTTAAAGAAACCTGGAAAAGAACAGGACGCTATCGGCTAATTGCAAATTAATTTAAATTGCAAAGACAGACACGCTGTTATTAAAGGTAGGCACATATTATCTTGAAACTCTTCATGACTGTTTTAAAGTGTGGTATAAACGATCACAAAACACTTTGCATCTCAAGTCAATAATTCATTCACAGCAAGTGGGTTTAGATAATAATATATTAACTTAATGATTATATTCGCTATATTTAACCTGTACATTTGCAGTAAGTGTGCACTCTAAACAAGGTTTCACTTATTTTCTTATTTAAGGACATATTTTCCCACAAGCACAAATATAAGAGTCTCTCCACAGTTCATCCAGCAGGCGGCGCTCGACGCTTCACAAGCTGTTTCTGTCTTTACTCTATTGGAGATTATGGCTCTGCATTGGAATTTAAACTACTCGGCTGTTAGAAAAACCCGTTCTATACAGTATGAATGAACATAAAATCAAATAAGAGTTCAGTGTCAAATATCACGGACACAACACTAAATAACAGCAGCAGATGCAGATATCAGATCAACACTCATGAGGCGTTTCTCTCTTCTGCTGTTAGTTTCCATATAAGGCCAGAATTCTTCTGAAAAAGTAAGATCAGCACATTTTATGATGTTAAAGAAGATTGTTAAGAGAAACGGAAACAGGTTGTAGGAGGGCTCATATTAAATCAGATAAATATCTCAGTTCATGCTGGAGAATGTTCAGACATTTTCAGGGCTGCCATCTTGAGCTCTTCAGTGAACTGATGAAGAAAATGTTTCTCAAGTTAGTTTTGCTCTGTTTGTGTCGTCTGGTTGGTGAGTTCTTAATCTCTCTTATTACAGTTCTTTCAGCATCAGATTCAGTGTTTATTTGTTCTAATAGTTCATTAAAAAGCTCCATCATTAGCTTTAATTGTGATGTGATTCTTATCTGAAGTGAAAGTTTTCTGTGTGTAATGTTCAGATCAACTTCAGTTCCTGCAAATTAGAGTTTTATTCTGAATCAGCACAAAGATCTGATTATTAATCTACATGTTATGTCAGTTTTGTTGTTTAAGCTGATGATCTTTTCTGTTAATATTGATTTAGCCCTGAATGAGCAGTGCATAGTCAGCCATCTTTATATCCTTCCTATAGCAGTATATATTATGGGCTCTATTTTACTGATCTAAGCGTGATGTCTGCAGCTCATGATGCAGAAGCACTAAGGGTGTGTCTGAATTCACTTCTGGGATCTGGCTCTATGTGCTGGTGCACGATCTAAAAGTGTTGTCCTCATTCTCATAATGATTTATCCGTGTGTTTTGAGCATGATGTGCATTAAACCAGAGTCTCATCTCCCATTCCCTTTAAGAGTCAGTTTCATCACGCCATGGTCACTGACTCTTTCAAGGTCTGATTTACAAACATATGCACCCAATATATTTGCCAGCCACTGTATGTGTTTCATATATCATATCAGCATTCTTTCTATACACATAGCACAGGGATGTCAAAGTCAATTCCTGGAGGGCCGCAGCCCTGCACAGTTTAGTTCCAACCCTAATTAAACACACCTGATCAAACTAAGTGAGTCCTTCAGGCTTGTTTGAAACCTACAGGTGAGTGTGTTGGAGCAGGGCTGCAGCCCTCCAGGAATTGAGTTTGGACTTCCCTGATATAGCAGGTACGTATTGGGCCATAGAAGAATGTAAAATGTAGAGTGATTAGGATCGTCACGATACTGGAATTCGGTACCAATCGATACTGAAAATTTAATAACGTCCATTTCCTTTTAACATTTGAGCGCTGTTGAGCACGTTCTTAAACAGAGCTGATTTGCCATTGTGTTCACATGCTCAACAGAAATGACTGTGATTGGCCACGAAGGTCATCAGTTCACCGAACTCACCGCTATTTACTGCGTGTAACTACAGATACAGGGACACTGGAGCGTTTTGAAACCCGTGTGCATAAATGAGCATTACAAATCCCTCTTATTACAGTGTGAGCCTGGCTTAAAGATGCTGTATTTGGGATTGACAGATTATTGGTAATATTATACAGGTATTAAAGATCAAACTCTTTTTATTTATTTCATTATTGGAGAGGGTTTCCCCCCGGCCCCTCCTCCACAGACTTGACTCACACACAGGTTGCCAGATTGATTACAGCAACAGTAACGATCACATCTGATGATGGAAAACATTGAACCTTACACTGTACGCTGATCAGTTTATGTGTTCTTCTGTAATATCTGTATTTCTGCTAATTATAAACCTCCTCATGTAGATTTTTGTAACTCTGATGTAAAGGTCACATCTGTCACAGAATACACTAAAGCGGCCCAGTAGTAACCATAATCAAGCAGACTGGCATCCATTAAGTGAAGTTTTTAAACTAATTTCGAGAAGAGCACGTGATATAATTGACTGCAGCTGGCCGCCTATCTACACTCATTAGTTAGCCAATCAGATCTATCCCAACTTACTATAAATAGCCTAGCTAGATATTACTCCCTTACCTTCGTTTTCCGAAGAACAAGGACAAACCCTGCTCCTTAACAAACCACCGAAACCCTCTACAACAAACAACAACAACGATGACGTCAACAGCTACAACAACAGCAAAAACAACAGCAACAACGACAGCAACAACAGCTACAACAGCAACAACAGCTACAACAGCAACAACAACAGCTACAACAACAACAGCTTCAACAACAACAGATACAAGAACAACAACAACAACAGCTACTACAACAACAGCTACAACAAAACAGCGACAACAGCAGAAAGAATTCACAAACCTAAACAGAACAATCCAACATCACAACCATCAACATGGAAGGAATCAACACACCAGCTCTCCCGGAAACACCAGCCCAAACACAGCAACAAACTCAAATAAACACCGAGGCTCCCATCAGAGGCCACAAGGGTCACAAGAACCCATCGCCACACGCAATCTCCATCTCCAAACCGCAACTTACCGTCTCCCGCTTCCTCCTACGCCTCTGCAAGATCTTCATCCATCACATCCAACAAAATGACTGTTTCTGAACTCCGCCAGTCACTCACAAATGCCGGAATTTCCATCCCCACCCGCTGCAATAAATCCGAACTTCTGAAACTGTACGAAGCCATCCCGTCACCAACTCCGCCTCCTCAAGACAGTAGACCAACTCGCTCCCGCCACACCCCCTATCCACAACCCTCCGCTACTCAGCACTCAAGAAACTCCCCTGGACCACCCAAGAAAGCAACCAAGAAAACTAATAAAAAGCAACCTCAAGCTACAGGACAGACCGCACCTTCTACCAACCAACATACAGTGAATCCACCGGACAATTATGCCACTACAGGACTTCCCACCCCCCTCCCTTGGCCTCCAGCCCCACAATCCAGCGAAAACTCCAGTCCGACTCTTCAAGCAATTCCCCCGAATCTCAACCCTCCTCAGTTCTTTCTTTCTTCTAATCTCCCTCATTCTTCAACTCAACTTATTCCCACTCTTTCTTCTAATCTCCCTCATTCTTCAACTCAACTTATTCCCACTCAGTCCCTTCCTACAAGCTCCAACGCTTTCCCTCTGCCTGCTAATTTTTCCTCTACTAATCCCCCCTTTTTTCCCTCTACATCCCTCCAAGCACCCACTTCCATTACTAACCCTCCCCAACAAAATGCCTTCTGTAATAACACATCTTCCGCACGAGCCCCCTTCACCGTAGCCACAGCCACACCCCTTCCCATTCCGCATAACGCTTCAGTCCTGGAAAAACCTCAGATCTCCAACGCAGTCAGGAACCTCATCCTATCAGAAATTCAGAGAATTAGCGCCGGAGGCGGAGCAGCACCCGACGCCCATCCCTCCTTATTCAGAGATGATATTCCAATAAATCATCCCATGCACGATCTGCACCAAGCATCCATATCTCTCATTCTGCAAGCGGTGGCTCCAAGAACCATACAAGCTTATCTAACTGCATGGAAAACATTCAAACACTTCCATTCACTATACAACACTACATTCCCCAATTTCTCCCTACTTACAATCACATCATTTATCACTTACCTTCATTCTCACAAACATATCCAGCCAAACTCGATTAAGAGCTATTTAAGTGGCATTCAGTTTTTTCACAAACTAATGTATGGCTCCAGTTCTGAATCTATTACTAACTCACAAACTAGCCTTCTTATTAAAGGCATTCAGAAGACCCCCCCCCCCCCTCCCAGACACAAGGCTACCCATCACACACAACATACTAGCTAAATGTATTTCCACACTCAGGAAAGGCTATTTTTCATTCCATACAGATCACACCCTAGATGCAATGTTTATTCTTGCCTTTTTTGGATTTCTAAGATGTTCTGAATTTAGTTACATCTAAATTCGATCCCTCTATCCACCCTACTACAGCAGATCTGACCTTGATTGATGAGGAAATAATTGCTTTCCTCATTAAGCAAAGTAAAACAGATCAATCCAGAAAGGGACATTACATCTACATATTCAACATTCCCTCCCCCACAAGCCCATTCCAAACTCTCCTAGCTTACACACACTACAGGAAAACACTAAGTGCAAGTCCCCTAGACCCCCTATTCATAGACGATACACACCACCCAGTGACACATTTTTGGTTCCAAAAACACCTAAAAAATGTCCTAACCAATTCAGGCTTTCCATCAGAATCATACTCCAGTCACTCATTCAAAATTGGAGTCGCCACTACAGCAGCACACAAAGGGCTATCACAACAACACATACAAACACTAGGAAGGTGGTCTTCTGACGCCTTCAAATCCTACATCGGACTCAGCCACAGCCATCTCAGGGAAGCCCAGAGGACCCTCACCAGCAGATGCAGTTATCCCAGCGGCCAAAGGCACGAGCCTAGTACAAGGAAAGAACACAACCCAGCTTTACCAGCTTCCCGAGGGCAGAGGAACTACCAAGTCTCTCAAGGGCGCGGGCATGACCCAGCCATCTAATTTCTTCTCTTCCTTCCAGCTGATTTGCACTCAGCCTTCTCCCCCTTTTCACTCACCCAACTACAGTAGGAGTTCTTTCCCTGCCCAGGCCCCCCCGTCACCCCCGCCCCCCCTGGCCGCTGCCACAGAAGTTTTCACTGCCCACCAACTTTTCTAACTTCTGTAGGACCCCCCCCCCCCCCCCCAATGTCAATGACATATAGTATAGCTCTATTTATTTTTCTCTCTGTTTGATTTTATTTGTATAAATTCATATCTATATGCACCCACGCATATAAATATGAATTTATATATAGTGCTGTCACCCTCACGCTCTGTTCCCGCAGGAACATCCCCAAAGCACCTATACCGCCCATCACTCTCCAGTAAGAGTCTTCACCTCCCCCTCATCTTTCCAGACTCCTACCGGAGCCATCCAAATATGTTTCATATAAATATATAATTATATATAGTGCTGCCACCTCCCAGCTCTATCTCCGCAAGGAGTGTTCCTCGAGCAAATTACTCCTTCGGAGTCCCCCCCCAATACCCCCCCCCCTGCCCCCCTTCACCCCCCTCTCCAGCCAGAGTCCTTCCCTCCCCTTCCCTTGTAATAACTCAAGCAGGATTCCCGCCCACCCCATGGCTCTGACCCCCGCAGGGGTCTCCCCGAGTCTCTACTCCAGCAGGAGTATTCACAGCCCACGCCAACTCTGCTCGGGTTCCCGCAGGAACCTGTTTCACCCTTTGCTCCAAGGAGCCCTCTTTACATTTCCTTTTCAAATAACTATATCCAGCAGCCGGATATAGCATTTTTAACGCCTTTTGGGGAGTTTCTTCGAATACACGGCTGCTGTCCCGAGCTTCATGCATTTGGGGAGCTCTCGAGAACCACCTGATCTCGTACTCCCCTCACATGCTCTATGGACCTGGCGGGAGCCCTGGGCTCAACTATCTCCGAGCTCAGGGTTCTCTCCCGGGACAGCATGCCAAACCTGCTTACAGCTGTCAAGCAATATCTAAGTGTGAACTCTTGAAGTGAAGTTTTTAAACTAATTTCGAGAGGAGCACGTGATATAATTGGCTGCAGCTGGCCGCCTATCTACACTCATTAGTTAGCCAATCAGATCTATCCTAACTTACTATAAATAGCCTAGCTAGATATTACTCCCTTACCTTCGTTTTCCGAAGAAACCCCCCATCCACCCCCTTTCTCCTCCTTTCCTCCTTTTAAAAAAAAGGGGAGCTGTCGAGAACCACCTGATCTCGTACTCCCCTCACATGCTCTATGGACCTGGCGGGTGCCCTGGGCTCAACTATCTCCGAGCTTAGGGTTCTCTCCCGGGACAGCATGCCAAACCTGCTGACAGTTGTCAAGCAATATCTAAGTGTGAACTCTTGAACCAGGATCTACAGGCTCTTCATTTGCATGAAGTTAAAGGATTTGCAACTTTGTCATGTGACTCGACACTTCCACATCCAGTCGCTAATGTTAGCATTTTTTTAAATATATAGCTTTTGATTGAACTATCAGCTTGCTTGATGAACAGAAGTGTTTTAGCTCTTTCCTGTTAAATCTGGGAACTCTACACCTCTGCTTCAATGCTAATAATTCAAACTCGTTATGCAGAACATGATCAGGATCAGACATGATATTATTAGCTGATCTCATCAGGTTGTTCTAATAGACTGAGTCTTACAGCTTTGCTAGAGGTCGATCTACAATCTTAGAGCAGATTTTAATGGATTAAACAAGCTTGTTTTCAGCGTTCCTGACAGACTCCTACAGCAAATAGAGTCACAGTATTGAATCAAACTCATTATCACAGACCTGAAGAACAGCAGAGGAATCTCCTCTCTTACTCTGAATGACCTGAGATGATGAAGAAAGTGGATTCACTGATATAGAAATAATCTGTTATTAGAGATTACATTCAATCAAATTAATATGAAGGTCAAAAACTGAACAACATCATCATCATTACCTTCAGAATAATATTCACTGCTCATCTGAATGATCAAAAGTGTTTTAGAGACGACTTTACCAAGACAACATCCTGTGATTTAACACTTTAATCTGACAAACTCTGTTCTGCAGGTGGAGTTTATGATTATTATCAAGTGCAGGAGGGAAAATCAGTCACTCTGAGCTCTGATCTCACTGAACTGAAGAATGATGATCAGATTGAGTGGAGGTTAGGAATTGAAGACACTTTAATAGCAGAAATCAATGTAACGGCAAACAGATTCTCTGTATTTGATGATGTTCTTGATGGGAGATTCAGAGACAGACTGAAACTGGACAAGAAAACTGGATCTCTGACCATCACAGACACCAGAACTGAACATACTGGATATTATGAACTAATGATCAATCAGATGTTCAGGATTGTCAAACTCGAAGTCTCTGGTGAGTTGGATATTTGTTTCACCTGTTTTCTTTTTTAATCACTAAGTACAATATTAATCCAGATTAAAAGTTGCATTAGTGCGTCTCTCCTGTTGTTTTATTATATTTAAATTAAAGTAACATTCAGACTGTAAAGTCTTAGTATGTGAATGTTGATGTTTGTTCTCTTTGTGTGTTTGATGATGAAGATGAAATGCTAATGAAGGAGAAATATTCAGTGACTCTGAGCTCTGGTTTCTCTGAACTGAGGAATGATGATCAGATTCAGTGGAGGTTTGGAGATGGTGACACTTTAATAGCAGAAATCAATGATCAGACCAACAGATTCTCTGTATTTGATGATGTTCTTGATGGAAGATTCAGAGACAGACTGAAACTGGACAATAAAACTGGATCTCTGACCATCACAGACACCAGAACTAAACATGCTGGAGTTTATAAAGTACAGACCAACACTGAAATCAACACTGTTAAACTGAGAGTTTTGGGTGAGTTAAATATGAGTTTGATCTGATTTATATTTTAATCAGCACTAAGAGACACTTTTTAACCCAAACCTGCTTTTGTTTTTGTTAGTTTATAATAATAATTACAAATAAAGATTTACTTTTGTAAACCATCAAATGACCGTCTTAATCTGTGTCTGTTAATCATGATCTGTTTCTGTTTCTTCTTCATGGGTTTGGTGATACAGGAGACGATAAAGAAGTGTCTGTGAAAACGGGAAATTCAGTCACTCTGAGCTCTGGTGTTACAGAAATGATGGATGATGAGCAGATTGAGTGGAGGTTTGGAGATAAAGACACTTTAATAGCAGAAATCAATGTAACGGCAAACAGATTCTCTGTATTTGATGATGTTCTTGATGGGAGATTCAGAGACAGACTGAAACTGGACAATAAAACTGGATCTCTGACCATCATAGACATCAGAACTAGAGATGCTGGAGATTATAAACTACAGATCGACTATATTGATATTATTTTCCGTCTCACTGTCTGTGGTGAGTTACAAATGTTCTTCATCTGGTCATCAGATGTAATTTTAATCCACACAGTTCTTTGCTATTTTCTGTATTTTTGCTATTGTATATTAAAATTAACTTTCAGACACAACAATAGAGCTTCATTGATCTTATTCTGGCAAAAACCCTGTTTCTGTTTGTGTGTTTGATGATGAAGATGAAATATCAGTGAAGGAGGGAGATTCAGTCACTCTAAACTCTGAACTCACTGAACTGAAGAATAATTATTGGATTCATTGGACGTTTGGAGATGAAGACACTTTAATAGCAGAAATCACTAAACAGAACAACAGATTCTCTGTAATTGATGATGTTCTTGATGGGAGATTCAGAGACAGACTGAAACTGGACAATAAAACTGGATCTCTGACCATCACAGACACCAGAACTGAACATGCTGGAGTTTATAAATTATCTATCAGCTTTAAGAAAATACAGAGTTTCATTCTCACTGTCGGTGAGTTTAATATTGGTTTCTCAGGTTTTATTTATTCAGAAACAGATCTACACTAATGTCTGATCATTTAAATGTTGTTTTCTGTCTTCGTCAGTCTCTTGATTTCTCCTCATTTCTCTTTATTCTCTGGTGTTTTCAGCTCTGCCTGTTCCTGTCCTCATCCTCAACTCTTCTCAATGTCCTTCATCCTCATCTTCATCAGTGCAGTATTGTTCAGTGCTGTGTTCAGTGGTGAATGTGAGCGCTGTGAGTCTTTCCTGGTACAAAGGAAACAGTTTATTGTCCAGCATCAGTGTGTCTGATCACAGCATCAGTCTCTCTCTACCTCTGGAGGTGGAATATCAGGAGAAAAACACCTACAGCTGTGTGATCAACAACACCATCAGCAACCAGACTCAACATCTGGACATCAGTCAACTCTGTCCCACATGTTCAGGTACAGCAGAGCTGATATTAGTGGATGGCAGTGCTGATATGAAGCTTTATTGACTGATCTGAGCTCAGTTTGATGTGTTTGTTCCTCAGGCTCTGTTCACTGCTGTGGTCCTACTGAAGCTGCGATCCGATTGGTCCTCTCTGCTCTGGTGGGCGTGGCTACTGTCATTATTGTGCTTTATGACATCAGATCCAGAAGAGCTGAACAAGATCAAGCACATATTCACGCATCACAAACCTGAATGATGATGTCAGAGAACTGCTTTCAGTCATTTCAGCTTCATTTATTTTGAAGATTTTAGATGAACCTGATGGTTCTGATGCAGCTCATGTGAGGGTTTGACATTAATACAGCAGCAGACTTCAAATACAAAGCTTTGCTTTCATTTATTTCAGTACAACAGGCTTTACTAATGAACATTTTATATATGATTTAATTTTTCATGTTTGTTTTGTAGTGTTACTATTTTACAGATTCAGTTTGATTTATTGTTTATATTTCTCTAAAATAAGACACAGATCTTACTTCACTGTGCATTTGTCAGATGTATTTGCTTGTCTTCATCAATAAAGTTTTCTCTGTCTAAATGTAAAGTCTCTTCATGTTGTATTGATTGTGTCGAGCGCCCTCTGGAGGAGTAAAACAGTTGAGCAGAGCAGAAATCTTCATCTTCATGATCTGCACAAATTCACAAACATAAATCATGACGTCATTTCACGTATAATCTTCATTTATTTGTAATGGCTTTATGTTTTCATTTGCTGATCTTTCCACCCTGAAAGATTTCAGATCAAACTGCAACTCGAGCATTAGTGCTATTAAATGTGTGTTGAGATAAAAGATGTCTGATTCACTGATTTATCCTCTTTAACACTTACAGGACTTTTAGGGTGCTTTCACACCTGTGAATCGATTCAGTTGTTCCGAAACAGAGATTACAATTGTTACATTGTTGCTCTTTGCTCTTGGAGCGGTTCGCTTTCACATTGCAAAGTTTCTAAACGGACCAAAATAGCTAAAACAAGTCACGTGCGAGTAAACTCTCCTCACATTGGTCAGGGTTTATTTTGCAGCGTCCCGCTCAGCTGTCAGGAGAGGTGGTGGTTTGATGGTGATTGACAAGGTGCGCGCGCGATGTGTCTGAGGAGAGATGTGGTGGGGAGGGGTGAGAAAGGTGCGCGACGATGCCTATTTGAGGACCGGGAGGGAGACGCAAGATTACCGGGAGATCATCACTCGTTTGTGGGCATCCGGAGACTCACGAAAATTCCCGCCATACTCATAATTCTCTCTTCATATGGCCGTAAGCCTATTACATATTCATAAAACACTGTGATATAACCGCGCTCGGATCGCTTTCTCACTGCAATCGAACCGCTCCAGGGTTCGTTTCAATCGAGCCGAGACCACCTCATTCAAGCGATCTCGGAGCGATTACTTTGGCGCGGAACAGAGCGCGATTGCCCTGTTCACATATGCCAATCGAACCGCGCTAACTGGGCAATCGAGACACGTTCCGAAACAAAAGTGTAGGTGTGAAAGCACCCTTAGGGTGCTTTCACACCTGTGAATCGATTCAGTTGTTCCGAAACAGAGATTACAATTGTTACATTGTTGCTCTTTGCTCTTGGAGCGGTTCGCTTTCACACTGCAAAGTTTCTAATCGGACCAAAAGAGCTTAAACAAGTCACGTGCGAGTAAACTCTCCTCACATTGGTCAGTGTCAGGGTTTATTTTGCAGCGTCCCGCTAAGCTGTCAGGAAAAGTGGTGGTTTGGTGGTGATTGACAGGGTGCGCGCGCGCGATGTGTCTGAGGAGAGATGCGGAGGGGAGGGGTGAGAAGGGTGCGCGACGATGCCTATTTGAGGACCTGTAGGGAGACGCGAGATTACCGGGAGATCATCACTCGTTTGCGGGCATCCGGAGACTCGCGAAACTTCCCACCCCAATCATAATTCTCTCTTCATATAGCCGTATATGCCTATTACATATCCATAAAACACAGTGATACAACCGCGCTCGGATCGGATCGCTTTCTCACTACAATCGAACCGCTCCAGGGTTCGTTTCAATCGAGCCGAGACCACCTCATTCAAGCGATCTCGGAGCGATTACTTTGGCGCGGAACAGAGCGCGATTGCCCTGTTCACATATGCCAATCGAACCGCGCTAACTGGGCAAACGAGATACGTTCCGAAACAAAAGTGTAGGTGTGAAAGCACCCTCAGATCACTTCTTATTACACTTTACCATGTCTTGTTATTATTGTGCAGATCAGATGTCCAACCTGTCAAGATCCTTTCATTGATATATAAATGTTTACGTTGCCATTTAAGCTCTCTTTATACTGATAAAAGTATTATTATTATTGTTAAAACTCGAGCTGGACATTTCCCCGTTTTACAGAGCGATCACACACACCGTAAAAACCCAAATTAGTACACTTTGTTGCAGGTTACAGCAGTCCTGTAATGAGTATCTTCTCCAGCAGAGGGCGCTGAGAGATTCATCAAGATTCATCGCTCACCACCTTGAAGAAACGGCTATTGGCTAATTGCTAATTAGCAAAAGACAGACACGCTGTTATTAAAGGTAGGCACATATTATCTTGAAACTCATCATGACTATTTTGAAGTGTGGTATAAACACAAAACTTTTTGCATCTCAAGTCAATAATTCATTCACAGCAAGTGGGTTTAGATAATAATATATTAACTTAATGATTATATTCGCTATATTTAACCTGTACATTTGCAGTAAGTGTGCACTCTAAACAAGGTTTCAGTTATTTTCTTATTTAAGGACATATTTTTCCACAAGCACAAATATAAGAGTCTCTCCACAGTTCATCCAGCAGGCGGCGCTCGACGCTTCACAAGCTGTTTCTGTCTTTACTCTATTGGAGATTATGGCTCTGCATTGGAATTTAAACTACTCGGCTGTTAGAAAAACCCGTTCTATACAGTATGAATGAACATAAAATCAAATAAGAGTTCAGGGTCAAATATCACGGACACAACACTAAATAACAGCAGCAGATGCAGATATCAGATCAACACTCATGAGCCGTTTCTCTCTTCTGCTGTTAGTTTCCATATAAGGCCAGAATTCATCTGAAAAAGTAAGATCAGCACATTTTATGATGTTAAAGAAGATTGTTAAGAGCAACGGAAACAGGTTGTAGGAGGGTTCATATTAAATCAGATAAATATCTCAGTTCATGCTGGAGAATGTTCAGACATTTTCAGGGCTGCCATCTTGAGCTCTTCAGTGAACTGATGAAGAAAATGTTTCTCAAGTTAGTTTTGCTCTGTTTGTGTCGTCTGGTTGGTGAGTTCTTAATCTCTCTTATTACAGTTCTTTCAGCAACAGATTCAGTGTTTATTTGTTCTAATAGTTGATTAAAAAGCTCCATCATTAGCTTTAATTGTGATGTGATTCTTATCTGAAGTGAAAGTTTTCTGTGTGTAATGTTCAGATCAACTTCAGTTCCTGCAAATTAGAGTTTTATTCTGAATCAGCACAAAGATCTGATTATTAATCTACATATTGTGTCAGTTTTGTTGTTTAAGCTGATGATCTTTTCTGTTAATATTGATTTAGCCCTGAATGAGCAGTGCATAGTCAGCCATCTTTATATCCTTCCTATAGCAGTATATATTATGGGCTCTATTTTACTGATCTAAGCGTGATGTCTACAGCTCATGATGCAGAAGCACTAAGGGTGTGTCCGAATTCACTTCTGGGATCTGGGTCTATGTGCTGGTGCATGATCTAAAAGTGTTGTCCTCATTCTCATAATGATTTATCCATGTGTCTTTCTATACACATAGCACAGTGATGTCAAATTCAACTCCTGGAGGGCCGCAGCCCTGCACAGTTTAGTTCCAACCCTAATTAAACACACCTGATCAAACTAATTAGCCGCATTTCCACTGCTTTAATGCTAATAATTCAAACTCGTTATGCAGAACATGATCAGGATCAGACATGATATTATTAGCTGATCTCATCAGGTTGTTCTAATAGACTGAGTCTTACAGCTTTTCTAGAGGTCGACCTACAATCTTAGAGCAGATTTTAATGGATTAAACAAGCTTGTTTTCAGCGTTCCTGACAGACTCCTACAGCAAATAGAGTCACAGTATTGAATCAAACTCATTATCACAGACCTGAAGAACAGCAGAGGAATCTCCTCTCTTACTCTGAATGACCTGAGATGATGAAGAAAGTGGATTCACTGATATAGAAATAACTGAAGATCTGTTATTAGAGATTACATTCAATCAAATTAATATGAAGGTCAAAAACTGAACAACATCATCATCATTACCTTCAGAATAATATTCACTGCTCATCTGAATGATCAAAAGTGTTTTAGAGACGACTTTACCAAGCCAACATCCTGTGATTTAACACTTTAATCTGACAAACTCTGTTCTGCAGATGGAGATGTTGATAATAATTATGAAGTGCTGGAAGGACATTCAGTCACTCTGAGCTCTGGTGTCACTGAACTGAAGAATGATGATCAGATTCAGTGGTGGTTTGGATATGACAGCAATTTAATAGCAGAAATCAATAAACAGACAAACAGATTCTCTGTATTTGATGATGTTCTTGATGGGAGATTCAGAGACAGACTGAAACTGGACAAGAAAACTGGATCTCTGACCATCACAGACACCAGAACTGAACATACTGGAGAATATGAACTACAGACCAACGAGATGAGCATTATTGTCTATCTTCAAGTCTTTGGTGAGATGAATGTTTGTTTGACCTGCATGTTTTTTTTAATTAATAAGTACAATATTATTTCACATTAAATGTTGCATTGGTGAGTCTCTTCTGTTTTATTATATTCATTTTAGAGTCCCCATGAAATCAAAACTAACCATATTGATTTTGTTCGCTCACATTGCTAAGTCTTACTATGTGAATGTTGATATTTGTTCTCTTTGTGTGTTTGATGGTGAAGATAATATACGAGCGGCTGAGGGAGAGTCAGTCACTCTGAGTACTGATCTCACTGAACTGAAGAATGATGATCAGATTCAGTGGAGGTTTGGAAATCGAGACACTTTAATAGCAGAAATCACTAAACAGACCAGCAGTTTCTCTGTATTTGATGATGTTCTTGATGGGAGATTCAGAGACAGACTGAAACTGGACAATAAAACTGGATCTCTGACCATCACAAACATCACAACTGAACATGCTGGAGTTTATAAAGTACAGATCA